TACAACATCAACAACAACCACCACCGCAAACAACAACACATTTACAACAGTTTAACACAGACAGACGGAACAACAACAACACAATAACCAATAACCCTATAGACACGTGACGACACAAGGAAACATTAATAATACATCAGAATAATAATGATGTTGATGTTGACTGTACGGATCAATCGCTATCACTCCAATCTCAATTCACACACGTTCATATTGATGCCTGCTTTCTTTCTGTTTATCATTTTTTATCGACGATATTTTTCTATCTATGCTCCTACTTGTTCTTCGACGTCATTGTGTTTTATTTTCTTTGGTTTTGTTAGCGATTTTTTTTCATCTTTCATTTATTTTCATATTAAAATTGTGTTTCGTTGTTTTGAATTTATTCAATGTATCCATTTTGAAAATATATTTCGTTTTATATCATATTCAAGATAACCCACAAAAATACTCTTCCAACTGCACATTAACCTGAGTAAGGTTGCCTTCAAACCAGGTGTATGTGTGATTGTACAATTTTTATTTCCTTTGGAAATATATCATCACGAGAATAATTTTGGCATAAACCCTGTGAAACGAACGTAAAAAGGTTATATTTTTCAACGTTTTTTTTTTTACAAGATTTTTGTTTTGTTATATTCATATGGTCTTCACGAGCGCGTCTGCGTGAGTGCATTATTAGTAATAATATTTTAGTTGTGTTTCTTTATTTGCATGTGAAGTGAATGCATGCTTGTCGACCCGCCTGCTTGTTGCAACCAATTCATTGATCCCTTTGTCTTGCGAGCGCCTTTTTCATTAGAAGAATCTACACCCACATGGATGGATACCTGTGTTGGAAAAGTGAGGAAGTGCTGATTAAAGGAGGAGTGATTGCGTTTTTCATAAGCTAACTGGATATGAGTTTTTGTTAGTCATGTTCATTCACGTGCTATACCGTGTAATTATGTTTTGTTGAGCGTACGATGTATGTTGTTATTGATGTAGTTGTTATTGTTGTTGATGTAGTTGTTATTGTTGTTGATGTAGTTGTTATTGTTGTTGATGTAGTTGTTATTGTTGTTGATGTAGTTGTTATTGTTGTTGATGTAGTTGTTATTGTTGATATTGTTGCTGGTTACGTTTGTTTATATTTATTATCTTCGAAAAACAATACGCTAAATTACAAAATGTCATTGAGGAGAAACATCAAAAAATGGGATCCATTTATGAAAAATATCTTGCTGAACTGAACTTATGTTTTGTTTGATAGGCGTATATGGTGGAAGTTTACCAGTTTATTACTAACAAAATAACGTATGGTTTTACAATGCCAGTTTTCATATTCTCATAGAAACACATAAATGTTGTTATTCACAGCGAATGTTCGACGCATAAAATAAATTGACAAAAATTGACTTGCCGTTCAGTGAATAGCATAAATTAGAGTTTTTGCAGTTGTCGTTAAATTACTTTTTGATTTTTTGATGAGTTTTATTTATTCAAACTCTGTACTATGCTTCTTGTTAACTCTGGAAATTGAAATGAAAAATTTGAACATTTAAACATAAATGATGTTTACTCTTGCGTAAGTCTATTTTTTCATTAACTTTCAACGCCGTTGTTGGTTCAGAACGTAAAAAACGAAAATTGTTCAATTCCTAAAAATTTTTTTTGAAACCTTGTAAGTTTGTCGTCGTCATGAAATACAAATATTATAAACAACAAAACTATTTTTTTGCTTCTGTCATAAATTTTTTATTGATCTTAAGAAAGGTTTCAACTAATGATTTGGCCTCTTGTTAATATACAAAACTGTAAAAGTTTGGATCGGTTTGGGAGCCGCTGGCACTTGAGTTATTTTTTTCAATGTTCAGTAATTAAATATGCCAATAAGGTGATTATTATTACAAGAAAACTCCAGAACAAATGTTTAATGTGAAAATTTGTAGTTAGAGTTTTAATAGAAGTCTCAGTCAAAATATTAATAGTTGAAATAATTTTGTTTTTTAAATGCCAGGAATTTAATATTGCGAAGACTTAATTAATATTTGTATTTTCTTCTAATCACTCAAACAAATGAGTTGGGAACTTCTAAAAATGAAAACAAATTTCAGTTTTCCAGACAGCGGAAATTGAAATTGTGCCATTTCAATGACCGGCTACTTTTCACGTTCAGTAACGTTGTGGAAAAACAACAAACTTTACACAAGCAACAAATATTATTTACAAACAAATTCTTCTATTATTAATAGAAGCGTTGTGATGGCTTGGTGGTAATATATTTGTTCGCTTCATCGCAATGACTTGGTTCGATTGCAAAGAAATCCTCTTATTATTATGCACAAATGCAAATACATTTGCTGTTTGGTGAAAAATTATTGAAATTTTTCCACGGTGATCAACATTTTCTTAAAAAAAATTTTCATCGTGTACTGTTACATATAAGTTGAAAAAAGCATTTAAATAAACTTTGAAGTTTATTTGATAGAACATGAATTTCATTGAAGAACAGTTTAAAAAAAAACAAATAAAAATTATGACGTCAACAAAAATCATCTACAGCAACAACGTTACAAACACATAAACGCAGTCACAACAACACCATCAACGTAACGGCAAACTGTAAACCCGGCGCTATAGAATTTGTTCCACTTCACTGACAACTGTTCATTCTATGTTCATTTTATCTATGTTCATTGGTCTATGATGAGTATAACAAGTGTTCTTTGCTATAGGAAATCAATATTTCTAATAACGTTCGTTAACTGGCGCTTTGAAAAGGCGGGATGAAAGAGCGATAACGAAGCAGACTGGTCATGTGGATGATGTATTGATACATTATTGTCATTGTTCATCATCTATCACCATCATTACCATTGTTCATCATCTATCACCATCATTACCATTGTTCATCATCTATCACCATCATTACCATTGTTCATCATCTATCACCATCATTACCATTGTTCATCATCTATCACCATCATTACCATTGTTCATCATCTATCACCATCATTACCATTGTTCATCATCTATCACCATCATTACCATTGTTCATCATCTATCACCATCATTACCATTATTATTATCTCATTTGGCCTAATTATCCTCATCAACTTTTCAGCGTCATCGTCATTATGACTTCCATCAATGTAGTTTCAATAAGCATTATTATCTTAGTAATTCTCATAGTAGTTATCATTGTGTAATTATTTAAAATTCGTTTTAGCTCTAATATGTAACGAGTAAATCAAAATTATTTTTTTTCAGTGTTACGTTCTAATCAAATTTTGTTTCATTTTATTTATTTTTTATCACCTGTCTTGCTAAACATTATCGTCAGATTCATCAACATCGTCGCTAACGAAACAACAATCCTCATAGGTTTTCATTCTCTTGTTCGTTAACATGCTTTAAGAAGTTCACTTTTACTATGTAATTTATTTTGTATGCGTCAGAAATATTTTGCATAGTTTATGCAAGCAAACCTTGTGTGTATCTACGCCAGCAGTCTTGTGTAACTGTTAAGAATGCGCATGGCTCAGTTGTTGCAGCGACTGGTATCAAATGCAAAGGAAACCCTGCCAGTTACATGCAACTGGGTATATGAAGAATGAATTTGCACGCAATGATATAGGCTGTGTATGTGCTGTTGATATTTTAAAAAAATTTGAAAAAAAAATGAATTCAATAATATTAATTGTGATATTTATAATAATGTATTATGTGTTGTTATTATATTGTGTAAACGAATATTTTGAATGTATGAACAATCATTTTATGTGTGTGTGTGTGAGTGAATGAGTGTGTGTGTGAGTGAGTGTGTGTGAAGGGTGCATTTTGTATGTGGTATGTGTAAAGCATTCGTTTTTACTGTACTGAAAATTAAGCTGTAGAGTTCTGTTCTATGTTTTAATATCTGAAAAAAGTTGTATCAAATTCTTTTTTTTCCAACATCGGCAGAAGCACGCGAGGCATGATGATCGATTGAACGTTTTTCGTGCAGCTTTTGTGAACAAGTCAACGTTAGTTACGTCAGAATCATCATCAAAATCGTCAACCCTATCGTCATCATCAACTCCATCATCAACGCCACAATCATCATCATTCTTGTCATAATCCTCATCATTTGCACTGTCGAACTATTCAAAAATATCATCATCGTCGTCGTCGTCGTCATCATCATATTAGTTCTATCTCAATAGGTTATTTAGATGTTTATGAACGGCTTCGACAATGGAAAATCCCAATTACAACAACTACAAAATTGTCATCAACATCATCCACAACAACATCCACAACAAAATAATTACAACAACACCAACTACTAAATAATAACACAAGTTTCGGATAAAGTTATTTTTTCTGTAACAACGACTAAGCTCCAAAGCAACATTTTCATAAAATAAGTGTGGTGACAACTTTCAGTTTAGAATATCTTATTCTGTGAAACTTTTGCAAAAAAGGGCATTAAAATTTGATAAAAAAAATGATAATAAACCAATTATATAAAACGATAGTAATAATAAAAATGAAAAGAAATGACATTGATGGATTGAAGGGTCAACATTGAATCACACCTACTTACGACAACCACTTTCAAACATTTCAAATAACACCAATCAATCAAATAATCAATCAATCATCCATTCAATCAACCACTAAATCAACCAACAAATTATTCTAAAAGAAACTTTTAAAATAAAATTATTTAAAAAACTGGTAAATGCGCTCTTCCAAAATATAAACATAAAATAATAAAACCCACAAAAAGATTTCGATAATTTCAACATAACAACAAAAAAATCTACTACTACCACTACAACATCAAGAACAACAAAAACAGCGACAACAAATACTACAACAACAACAAAAAATACTACTAGAGCAACAACAGATTCTACAACAACAACAACAAATACTACTAATACAACTAAAAAAAATAATAATCATATCCTAAAACATCCCCTCTCCCTCCTCTCTCTCTCTCACTACTGAGCAACAAACTCACGCAAGAAATGTCAGACTTTGACAATCGTGTCACATTAAACGTCGGTGGCATTAGGCATGAAACCTACAAGACGACTCTGAAGAAAATTCCCGCCACGAGGTTGTCTCGTCTGACGGAGGCCCTTGCAAACTACGACCCCGTCCTCAATGAATATTACTACGATAGGTTCGTTGGGTGGGGGGCTGACGTTTTGAATATCACAAACATTGCTTTGGTGGAAAATTTTCTAAAATCTTATTTTAAAAAAAAAATTAGTTTCAATAAATTTGATGACTGATGATCATGGTTATTTCATCGTCATCGCTAACCTCATCATCATCATCATCATCATCATCATCATCATCATCATCATCATCATCATCATCATCCCTCGTTCCCACCCAGACACCCAGGCGTGTTTGCACAGATCCTCAACTACTACAGAACGGGCAAACTCCACTACCCCACCGATGTCTGTGGCCCTCTATTCGAGGAAGAACTCGAGTTCTGGGGACTGGATGCTAATCAGGTGATCATGATAATGATGTGGATGATGGTGTTGATGTCGACAATAATGATGGTAATCAAAACAACCTACGTCTTTGTTACACTGGTTGCGGCGAGGCGTTAAAATGATTCTTCATGCTCTACAGTTAGTAGTTTAAAATTCGAAGAAACACCAACCTATTCTACCATAGTGTGAATAATAAAGTTTTTTGTCCCGTGATATACGAAAGTAGATAGGCTGAAACCAAACGTTCAATGAGCTCAACATAGAGCGCTAATCAACGTAAAATGAATAACCCCCCAAAAAAAGCAATTTTTTTATAAAATAAGAGAACAAATTTTCGGTCAAAATTTTGTCTCCTATTTAATTTTTGCAACAAAAATGTGAGGTGTCATTTATCAATTTAATTGGTTCAACAAATTTGTTCTCTTATGAATGTTTACAAACATTCATCTATTTTCTAATATAATTATTTTCTAGCAAGCTTATGATCATTCATTACGTTCATATAACATTTTCGTTATTTCAAAAATTTTTGCTCATCTAGATTTGTTTTAAAGTTTTCTGATATATCAAGTGAAAAATGTTTATTCATTGTATCCAGAAATTTGAAAAAAAAGAATTTGGTCACGAGAATAAAATTTTCATTGAAAGTTGATGCTTTGCTTGTTTTCCATTTGAACAGATTTCAATTTGTATGCGTCTCATTCATCAGATGGAGTTGTCTTTCAAAAACAATAAATACAAAATCCGCATAAAAACGCATGCGTACGGTGACCAATTAACTACATAATACATTTTCATATATGCATACAGACACATTTATAAACACACACGCACACAGATATATATATATATATATATATATATATATATATATATATATATATATATATATATATATATACATAAAAAAGAAGGCATTGCAGCAGATAAAGAAAAAAAGACGAGGCTAACATAAATCGCAATTATTTCAATTCATTTATCAGCCCTGTTGATATCGTTACGGCGCGTTCTTATTTGCACATGCCAGTTTGTTTCTCGAAGATTTTGTTGTTATAATCCGTCTGAGTTTGTGATTATGTCAGCAGTGAATGTTGTCTGGTTGAATTTGTCGTCTGGATACAACATTTTAAAAAAAATGCGCGCGTGCTTCGATGTTGGATGTGTGTGGTGTGTTTGTGTGTGTGTTTGCGCGCGCGCGTGTGTGTGTGTTTGCGCGCGAACGTGTGTGTGTGAGTGTGTGTGGATATGTTTGTGTGTGTGGACATGTCGTCTATTGTTTTGTATCTGGATATCTGGCTATTGTAGGTGAGCGGTATACATCTGACCGGTGAGGGCATAAAGTTTTATTTAAATTTTCCTCTTCACCCGACGTAAACAAACGTCATCATCGTTATCTGATAAGGACTGCATGCAAGCCATCATCGGAATAATTCAGAGAGGATTGTTGTCGTAATGGAAACAGGGCTGTTGGAAGCATTCACTCGTTGATTGGAGCTTTGCTGACGTTTTTTAAAAAATTACTCCGCGCTAGATAAGGGCATTGTGCCTAGTTGCTCCGATCTTAAAAATATATTACATCGCTGAGGAAAAGTAAAAACTAATACAGAATCAAGGAATAATCATTTCAATAACATTGAATTTTTTTGAAGAAATGAACAAAAACGCTTCAATTTAGAAAAAAACAATTTGTATCATGCTAAAAAGTTTGAAAATAATAATAGTAAAATTTGAAAAAAAAAAATTTTCAAACTTCCGTTCGAAAAAGCATGGAATGGTTTATGTGTACATACCATTACACGCATTACAAAGACAAGCGAAACAGTGCACTCAGTATCGATATAAGACAAATCGAAGAATTTTAGAATCGCAAATTCAATGTCTGTCTACCCAGTAATAAAATCTTCAAACCAAATCAAATCGTCTAGAAATATATATATATATATGAATAAAAAATATATTAGTACATTTAATTTTCTTTCTTTCTTTCTCTTTTTCTACCAACATGTAAGACACATATATAGGTAGGTATGTAGGTGTGAATGAAGGAGTTCAAACTGGAGAGGAAGTTGACACTGCTTCCTTAGCAACCCCACTGCACAAATATTTCCACTTCTCTCTGCGTATCTCTCAAAATTTTTCACATATTCTAGAAAAATGCACACACAATCAAAGACACTCGGTCAAAAGAGAACTTACAATTACAAATAAACACAAAAACAAGAATGAAAAATACGAAACTACATATTATACATACATACATTATAAATACATACACCTAAATAAAATTTTAATGTATAAACATGAATCCATACACATGCATATACATATTTATAATTATATATGTAATGTTAATATTTATATGTAATCCTCACATCAATTCACACGTACGTGCACATTGCACGCACATACACAAACACTTTCGTGGAAATGGGTAACTGCGTTTATTTCATAATTTTTATGTAAACCTTTTTCCATTGTGCTGTTACTTCTAATAAGTTCTAGAAACATATGCAACATATATACAAAAACACACACACACACATACACCCACATTCACAATCACATATATTTAGTATACATAAGTTAATCATGTTTTCAAGTTTCGCGAAAAATATTAAAAAGTTGTTTGTTTAAATATTTATTGTAGCGTTTTCCAAGTGACAATTGTAATTAATTTGAAAAAATGTATTTTGCATATTTTAAAACCGATTTACACGGATTTTTCAAATATTTTCAACAATAATTGAAAGAAATCCAAGAAAAAGAAAAAAATTTGCATGTTCAATATGGAAAGCCTTTCTAAGAATGGAGCGATGCTCATCTCATCATATCATTACCGCGGTCTTATTTATGCCTTGTTCGCGAAAGGCAGCAAATGTCAGAGCATCACCATTATATTGTTATTTTCAATGATTTATGCTCACGTTTATATTTGCTCCTTTTCATAAGTTCTTTATAAATTGCTATCAATAACCAATGCAATAATGCCTGCTATGTCTTTTGTGTTCAACTTGTGATATTTGAATGCTAATTTTTCCATTGGGTATTATTTTCTAACCAAGATATGCGTTTAATCAGAAATTTAAAAAAAATAGAGATACCAACGTCATATAATATAATTTAGTCAATATTTGTGCAATCAATGATTGTACCATCAATGTTTGTACCATCAATACTTGAGACGTTGAGATTTGGGATCTTCATGTCTTAAACGACTTAGATGGTTATAATAACTGCTATATTATTTGGTTAATAAGCACTTACATATGATTAATTCTTCATAACATTATTAATAATCAAAACATTTCAGATGTTAGAAAATTTAAAAAAAAATTACTTATGTCGATTTTTAAATGATAATAATTAAAAAAAGTTGTCATTTTTCTGGATAGTAGTAGTAGCAATGACAATAAAATTGATAGTAAAAGTAAATGTTATAATAAAAGTCGAAGTAGTTTGTCCAGATAATAATTGCAGGGCAGTAGTTGTAAACATGCTAACATTTAAGCAAGCACTTTGATTTATATACAAGTGGAAGAAGAAAGGTCCTTTGTACGTTACCTACTTCACTCTTTGTCATAATGTAATAATAATGCATATTTCCGAGTGTTTTTGCTTTCAACAATTGCCTGATTTTGTGCACATTTTTTAACAAATACGTGAATAAACTGTGTTTAAAATCTTTTCAGTTTCACTAAATTTTTCTATTTTCAAATCCAAACTATTCAACAACAAACAATTTAGATTAAAACAATTTAGTTTTGAATGAATTTTTAAATAACTTTGTTATATTTTTGATTGGTTGATTTACTTGATGAAAAAAAAATTGAATCTCAACAAAATTTGAGAATTGAAAATAATTTCATTCGCTACACCACACCGTGCAGGTAGAGCCATGCTGCTGGATGACTTATACGACCCACCGTGATACACAGGAAACACTGCAAACCCTGGATAGACTCGACCTGGATACCGACAAACCGACGGAAGAGGAAATCATGAAGAAGTTTGGATTGGATGAAGAATTCAACTGCGGGAATGAGTTGAGTTTCTGGTTAAGAGTGAAGCCAAAGATATGGGCTCTTTTTGACGAACCTTATTCTTCAACATTAGCTAAGGTAAACTTTTGTTTATAAATCACTATATAGTTGTACTTAATAAGCGAATTTTTCTTTATAAATCACTATGTAGTTGCGCTAAATACATATATATATATATATATATATATATATATATATATATATATATATATATATATATAATCATATTTGGTAATTGTCATTTGAAGGTTCAACATATTATTTTTATTATTTTTATAAAAAATAGATTTAATTAATATTTTTACTCAAAATTAACCAAAAAAATGATTGATTAATCTGATAAAAACTTTTTTGTTTTCAATCTCACAGTTGGTTGCCACCATTTCCGTGTTTTTCATCATCGTCTCTATCATCTCATTCTGCCTTAAAACACACACCTCCATGCGTGTTGCCCCTTACGTGCACAACTCATCTTCACACGACCTCACAACACCTTCCATGCTGATCAACGACACTTTAAATTCAACCAAGGACAATGCTGTCCTGATGAATGATAACATTAACAGTTTACATACAATCGATGAAAGTAGTCATGAATTTTCAAAACAGTCGGATTTTCAAAAAAAACCGCAGTTTAAACCTGCGCGGCAAAAAGTTTCTTTAAAACAACAAAAACAGCAGCAATTACAGCAGCAGCTCTCAAGCAGTCAAAACATCGTAGAGCCGAATGACGACTCGACGCACAAATGCCAGTGGCCGTTTGGTTGCACACACAGCTACAAAGACAACTCAAACTTGACCAAACCTCATCTTTTATTTTTTTACGTTGAGTGCATTTGTAATATTTGGTTCACTTTCGAGCTCATAATAAGGTTTATCGTCAGTCCAAATAGGCTGGTTTTCATAAGAACACTAGTCAATATAATTGATTTTGTGGCCATTATGTCTTTCTATTTAGACTGTTTGATGACGTTTTTACAGAAAGAAAATGAAATTTTAGATTTCTTGAGCATCGTTTGCATAATGAGGCTTTTCAAACTGACCCGACATTCGCCTGGATTAAAAATTCTCATACACACATTCAAAGCAAGTGCACATGAACTTAGCTTACTTGTATTTTTTCTTGTTCTTTTCATTGTCGTATTTGCTTCCCTTGTTTATTATGCCGAGAGAACAGGAGTGAATAAAGACAACAATTTTTCTTCAATCCCAGAAGGGCTTTGGTGGGCGATAATCACAATGACGACAGTGGGCTATGGTGACATGACGCCAAAAACTTATTTAGGAATGTTTGTTGGATCAATTTGCGCTCTAACTGGTGTCCTCACTATTGCACTTCCAGTTCCAGTCATTGTTGGCAACTTCACACTTTTTTATTCTCATACGAAAGCAAGAGCTAAATTGCCTAAAAAACGACGGCGTGTGTTGCCAGTTGAAGCTGTCAGACCAAAAAATTTGCAAGCTGCATTGAAGAGTTGCCCAGGTGGGCCGCTACCTTTTCAAAACTTAAGGTTGAACTCACCACCTCTGCTATCGTTGAAACCCCCGACATCATTCAGCGGAAATTTTGGAGCTAACTCGAAAGCCACCACGCCGACTAGCAATGATCATTTATTGACTGCTTCAAACAACGATAACAAACACAAGCTAAGTTAGTTGTTACCTTTTTCAATTTATTTAAATTAAAATATAAATAAATGTTTGATATATTGAGAAGTCTTTATTGAAAAACTGATCGTATTAAAATGATAAAACTTGACTCGTATTAGTAAAACGTGTTATTTCTTTGAAGCTTGAAAGAGCAAAAAGTATTTTATAATTTTTTTTTTCACAAAAATGAACTAGTCACGGTAATTTATTTCATTTTATGAAGTCATTAGAAACATTTAAAATTAAAACGTTAAATATTCCACGTTGAATTTTAAATGTTTATTTATTTAAATAAATTAAAAAGATTTTTTTATTATTTCTTGGAATCATATTTTACCACGTTAACAAAAAAGTTTAATGTCCGACCAAACCGAAGCCATCTCTAAACAATAGAAGCACTGTGTGATTGGCCAGCCAGCTGTTTACGTACTCGCTAATCTGATTAAAATTAACATGAGAATTTCAATCTACGCTTTTTTTACTGTAGGATTCTTATGCTGAAAACTTCTTACTTGCCACTAGAATAAAAATACTTCCTTGATTTTCTAATGTTTTTCATCAATTATTAATTAAATTGAATTATTGTTACGGCGAAATGTAAAAATTGACACATATAAAAAACAACTGTAAGAGACGGCAACCTCAGATTTAATAACACTAGAAACATGAAACATATTTGTTCCATAATTCATAAACATTCTTCACGACAAACTGCAAATAGGTGAAAAGATGATGAGTAACAATAACAAACAATTAAAGTACATATTCAATAAACGAGGCATCTGTTATCTTCATGAAAGTGTAATTTATCGCATTCGAGTTAATAAAAATTTTTTCACAATTTTTTTTATTGTTTTTTTTTTCATTCTTTTTTCACTAGGTATTAAAAATATACGTAATTTCATTTATATTTTGATATTTAAAACTTGGCAACTTTTTTCGGCTCAACTCAAATTTGTATTATCATATTATAATACAAATATTTTAAATTTTAGTGAGATTAAGGCCTTAAAAAACTAAAAATTTTACACAAATTTTTACGTAAATGTTTTTTATGGAGGATTGCAACTCATTTGTTCAAAACAAAAAAGATTTTTACAAAGTTTCAGCTGACGAGATAGCACAGACGGCAAGAGTGTCGTGTCTCGCATAGTTATTGAGAAGCAATCACATTCGAATACTGTCTCTTTTTAGCTATATTATTCGCAATTTATAAGTGTTTTCAAATTTTTAGTTTGATCAAGGCGACAAAATACAGACTCACCTCATTTTACTTTTAGAAGGAAAAAAGTGCTTTGCTGCCCTAAACTGATTTTCGTGATTGTCATCGTCAATTAAATACTAAATCGGAGGAATTAAAAAATCATTTTATGAAAAATAATTCAGAAAAATGTATGTAGCTATCTCGTTTATAGCGTTTCAAATATTAATATAGGTGAAAATTGCTTCACAAAAACGTATTCAAGAACCCAAGAGTAATATTTTAAACATCTAATAAAACTGGACCGTGCAATTGATTTGTTTTGACAGCGAAAAGCAATAAATTCGTTTAGAAAATTGTTGTTGGTTCATCGGGGCAGATATTTGTTCTACTTGTTGTTTGCTTACTATCGCAACTATGCTTTTGACTTTGCTTGGCGATTGAGCCCGTGAGTTTGTTTGTTTATGAATGTGTGTGTTGTGTCTGTCTGTGTGTGTGATAGAGAAAGAGAGAGAGAGAGAGAGAGAGAAAGAAAAAGAAAGAGAGAGAGAGAGAGAGAAAGATAAAAAGAGATAAGTAGATAGAAAAGGAAAAAATGAGAGAATGGGAGAAACTATATAATTTATAATGGGTTAGTTTTTTATGTGTGTTTGTTTGTGTGAGAAAGAGAAAAAAACTTAAACATAAAGAGAGAGAAAAAGAAAGAGAAAAAGAGAGAGAAACTAAAAAATTGTTAGAGAGTGTTTTTGTATTTACGTCGATGATTGACTTATTGTTAAAATTTCAGTTTTACCGTGATAAAAAGAATTAAATATGCAAACATTAAGTTCTGCAATCATGTTAATCATTTATTTCATCACCAACATCATGTTTTTATCATTAACATCATGTACATCCTCTTTCCTCCAAACTACCGCTGATGATTTTACAGTCATTCTTTATTACCAGAGACAGATACCTCGAAGAGTTATATTGGAGTATTGGAACTATCGTTCCTTACTAGATCCTTCACTAATCTTATTAGATTCTAATTTTCAGTGAAATGACGTTATGGATGCTGGCTTGGATTTTATCGTTTTGTCATCCTATGTTGGATTTCCGTCCTCATTTTGATTGTAAACGTTTTTTCACTCTTCATTAGATTATCATTAGATCATTCTGCTTTCATCATCATAAATCATATTGTTTAGGTTTCTTTTTTTCTGAAAACTCGTAAAACTGCTATTTATGTTTTAATTATCATTATCAACGTCATCACCATCGTCATCATCATAAACTAATATCATCTTATTATCATCATGACATCATCATCATGTAACAACAACATTTTCGTCATCTCACAAGCGTATGCATGCAACGCTAAATACGTCTACCAACTAAATGATGTTATCAGTGCATTTTCATTCCGGAGGTCCTTTCTGACTTTTTATTCTATTTTGTAAACACTTATTAATACTTGCATTTGGTTTATTATAATTTAAAATACCATTCATCAACTTTGGCATCAACATGTGATTACTGCTAAAAAAGTTTTTTACTTATGTGAAAATATAGCATTTATGAAATACAGAAACTCGGGCAAGGATGGGCTCAAGAATTATTGCCTTTGAACGAAAAATAATTTGTAAATTTTTGTTTAGATACTCAATTATATCAATTAAAATCATTCAAGCTTTTTCAATTCCAACAACATTATCTAAGCTACAATAAAGCTACAATGGTTTCGTTAACAGAAAATCAGCTGCTTCAATTAATTTGTGAAATTTCAAAGAACTGTAGCTACAAGAACTTTCGTAATATCAACTGGTCAAAAATGACAAAAAATGAGTCTACCTTTTAAACACAACCGAAAATTGTTTCTATCCTTTTGGAAGAAGATAGTGATGCTGATAATAACAATAGTGATGAAAATATTTTTAACTCAACGTATTAAATAAAAAATATAATATAATACAATTCATAAGCTTGCATTACTAAGCGGTAGGCACAAGATGTTATTGCTACACTAAATCTCAGTCTCACAGCCCCACGTACTCTTGTTCTTATTGAATGAATAAACAAATTTCTTCACGTTCTTTATATCTAATTTTTTTCCATTAATATTTTTTTTTTATTTTTTGGTAAAATATAAACCACGTTATTATTTTTTATGTTCTGATGTGATGACGTGCTATCATGTGTTGTTGTAACAACACTTTGTTGCTTAATTATTCATTATAATAATGATAATGCCATTTTTACGACTTGAACAATTTCAATGGCAAGCAAACGTGAGCGTAAACTACACGCACAACGTGGCTATTTGGAGAGCGCAGGAAATATTTAACCATCATTTTCAATGGTTTCGTTAACAGAAAATCAGCTGCTTCAATTAATTTGTGAAATTTCAAAGAACTGTCGTAAGTTCGTCATAAATTTCAGCTTACATAAACAATTGCATCCAAGCTGCCTTTTTATTTCTACCATCCTTCATTAACTTTAATCATTTATCATATCATCGTCATCATTATCATTAACATCATCATTGTAAACGCACAGATCAGTGGTTTCCAATCAACTCATGGTACTTACTTGCTGGTCTCATGTTGAGTAGCGAATGAATGTTCAACATTTAAATCATTTGATATGGTTTCTTGTTTTAATGGGCTCCATAAACATGGCCATGCACAACATTCACATTCATGCGCAGTGCAATTGTCTCTGGAGCAACTTAAGTGACGAGAGTAAGGCAGTTACTCTAGCAGCAGCACTTTGAGTTGTCTTTCAGTGGAGTTTTGTGCTTGTCATTTGTTTTTCTGACGCGAACCTTTTGTGTTCTCAGAAAATTAGGCTAGCAGGCAGTGATGGTTTTTAATTTGTTTGTAAGAGAAATGAAATATTCTTGATTTTTGGTGCAATTAATATTTGACTGATTAATTTTGCAGAAAATCACTTGAGAACATAAGAATTTTTCAACCTGAAAAAAACTTCCTCAAATAAAGTTTTTTCAACAAATCAACACTAAGCAAATATTTATTTAACTCGTTGTTTGTTCGTTCAATTTGAATGAATTCTATTCGATTTTGTGTAGGTACCTGACTCAATGAAAAAAAAACCTCAAATCAAAACCATGATAGAACCAAAAAAACTTGCTAAAAAAACATAAGGCAATTGTGGTTGACAAACGAACAATAAATAAAACTAAACGTGAGACATGTCTGAATGAAATTACCAGGTCCGCGCAACAAGGCAATGCAATAAACCATCAGCGCACGTCAAATAGTAAAACCGCATCAACGGGTTGCTCGCCTATTCGTTTTTGTTCTTTTTCAAAACGTGCGCAACATATTTTGTTGCTGTTGTTGTTTGTGTTACAAGACAAATCATCGATGCGTTGTTAATTGTGATGTTGGTTGGCGCGTAACACGAAGACCAACTGATTTTGTCCGCTTGTAATGCTGTTAATCTAAACTTGTTTGCACTGAACTTTTGTCATTGATGTGACAAACAAACCTTGGTCGTTGAATAACGTTGTGCTTTTCAGTAGCGTTACAAACCCATTCGTTATCATTGCAATCTTTGAAAGCATTATCTACGAATAGTCGGTAGAAGTCGATGCAGAATTTTTTATCAAGAAGGAATTTTTAGAATGGTGCGATATTTAAAATTTTTTTTGATCAAAACAAGCTTGGTGACCAAAAAAATTTCAGCCACATCACGTCCTTAACTTTATAAAGTTATTTGATGTACATTCTATGTATTTTTCATAGCTAATAGAAAAATGCAATTCTACATACATACTAGTCTAGAGCTAACACTGATTATA